GACAGAAAGGCTGTTATTGTTGCGGGACGGGCGTTACTGTGTTGTAATGTCAGGATTATTTAGCGTATTACTGTTCTTTTTTTACATTTAGATTTTGTATCTTCCATTTATGAGTTCTGCATTATGTACATCATAATCATGAGGCCAGGTAGTGTTATGGCTAGCAATGCGTGTTGTGATAAACCCGAGACTCACCGCCAGATTTTGTGGTTTTTTTTTTCAACGTGTAAATGTGTATTGGTTATTTTTTCGTAATAATCAATCGTTATCAAATATTCAGCTTTCTATCTAAATTATTTTAACCTTGTTAACTACTAAATTTAGTTGTTCTTTGCAAAGAGATTAATGCTTAGTGATGACGTATCCTTTTTTGCAAAATCTTTTTGTGTCTTGATATATGAATTTGATACAAATTATGAATGACATTCAAAGATAAGTTGAGAAACTAAATCAAATAAACTAATGTGTGTGATATTACAACTTGGGAGTTTTGTTCAAAATATTAATTTTGATATGATATTAGTTATCACAAAGGTTGCTATGGCATATATATTTGTGTATATATAATATATATATATATATATATATATATATATATATATATATATATATATATATATATATATTATATATATATTATATATATATAATATATATATATATATAATATATTATATATATATATATATATATATATATATATATATATATATATATATATATATATTATATATATATATATATACATACATATGTGTATGTATGTATGTATATATTCATATACATGTATATAAATGCAAGAGTATAAAGACAGAGGACCAAGTCTGCATTTCCCACCGGGACATAGGAAGATTGGGAAAGTAAAGGCGACATTTCCCTCTGCCTCATTGAGTCAGAATTACGCGGAATGGATCTCAGCTGGCGACGGACCTTTATTGGTGACCTTAATCGGTGTCTCAATCGAAATCCTGCTTAATGCGACGGACCTTTTGACCTTAATCGTGTTGGATAAAATGGAATCCTTAAATGGCGACGGACCTTTATTGGTGACCTTAATCGGTGTCTGGATCAAAATGGAAATCCTGCCTTTGGCGGGACCTTTAATTGGTGACCTTAATCGGTGTCTGATCAAAATCGAAATCCTGCCTTAACTGGCGACGGACCTTTATTGGTGACCTTAATCGGTGTCTGGATCAAAAATGGAAATCCTGCCTTAACTGGCGACGGACCTGAATCGGTTGGAAGCTCTTTGGCGAAGAGCTTGGTGACCCGTTTTCTGGGTTCATATAACTTAGCCCCCTGGAAGTGCCTTCTTCACGCAGATCTTCGCTGGCGAACGAGCCAGCCGGGTAGATAGATAAATATATATGTTGAGAGATTGGAGAGGGACGGACGAACGGGGAGAATTGGGAAGAATCATTTGCATTTCTTCTTATATATATATATATATATATAATATATATATATATATATATATATATATATATGTGTGTGTGTGTGTGTGTGTGTGTGTGTTGTGTGTGTGTGTGTGTGTTGTGTGTGTGTGTGTGTGTGTGTGTGTGTGTGTGTGTGTGTGTGGTGTGGTGTGTGTTGTATGCATGTATGTATGTTTCTATGACCTCTGGTCGCGGAGGGCCAGAGGTCCTGCGGCGCGCGTCGCGAGGGAAGCGAGGCTCGTCCGCCTCTTGCGAGCGAAGCATTCCGAGGATGACTTTCAACGAATCGTCGCTAAGAATACTCTCGGGTACTTTGGGGGGATTGCAGGATTTTCCCAAGCGGAGTGTAGAAGAAATCAGTATTTCTGAGTGAGGTTGGATTTGTGTATAAATATCTATATATTTTTTTGTGAACAGGTGATGTGTAATTGGAGGCATAGTTCTAATCAACCTCCATTGATGTGTATGTGTTGTGGTGTTTCCGAAAACGATAACCAAGATTAAGTTTCTACCGAAGACAGTGACAGTAACATCATTAATAATAATTTTCTCCTTCCTGTCTTTCTCCCGTCCCTCCCTCCCCACTAATCTTCTAATGCTCTCTTATCTCCCTCTCTCTCTCTCTCTCTCTCTTTCTCTATATTTCTCTATATATCTCTATATTCCTTTTTCCTTTCTCTCTCTCTCTCTCTAAATGCATACCTTTTTAGAGTCTCCTTCGGATACTCTCTGGTACATCGCAGCGGTTCTGGGGTTCGCCATTGTCATCTCTTTGATCGAGGCGGTCGCCCGGAGAGCCAAGACCTGTCAGGGTGACCCCGTCCGTCCTTCAGCTGCCCTCCCGTCGACCTCACCGGCGGGGACACAAGAGCCCCCTCCCCCTTCTCCTTCTTCTTCTTCTCCTCCTCCTTCTCCTCCTCCTCCTCAGCTGCTTCTTCAGAGGAACTCGTTCGGTCCACCAGATGGCCAA